AGCACCCCAGGACACCGAAACTGAGCCCAGCATGGCACAGAGCCCCCAGAGCACCCCAGGACACCGAAACTGAGCCCAGCACAGCACAGAGCCCCAGGAGCACCCCAGGAGCTGAACCATGAGGAGCTGATCCCCAGGAGCTGATCCACGAGGAGCTGGCACTCGGGGAAATCCTGGGGAATGTCCCAGGCACAGCCAAAAGCTCAGAACTCCCATGAATTCCCTTAAATCCCACGGATTTTCTGCTCCAAGGGACACGGCTCTGGATGGACTTCCCAGCCCTTCCCACACAATCCCATTTATCCCACAGCTCTGGATGGACACTCCAGCCCTTCCCACACAATTCCATTTATCCCACGGCTCTGGATGGACACTCCAGCCCTTCCCACACAATTCCATTTATCCCACAGCTCTGGATGGACACTCCAGCCCTTCCCACACAATTCCATTTATCCCACGGCTCTGGATGGACATCCCAGCCCTTCCCACACAATTCCATTTATCCCACGGCTCTGGATGGACACTCCAGCCCTTCCCACACAATCCCCTCCTTTCAGGCCCTGCAGAAATTCCCCCAGCTTTGCTTTTCCCCTTCACGGAGCTGTGGGGCAGCTGTGAGCACCAGGAGAGGGAGCAGAAGTTTGTTTTAGCACAGATTAAACACAACAAAACCCGAAAGGAGAGCGGGAGGCTCCGATCCAAGGTCGGTGGAACGTTTCCCCGGGCAGGAGGAGCAGGAATCTTCCTGGGAAGGGTGGGAGGATGGAGCTGGGCTGCAACAAAGATTCCTGTCCTGGTTTGAAGCTGCAATTGTGTTTCCTGGGGGTGGGAGACTCCTCAGTCCCTTGATGAACAAAGAACTGATTATCTCAAAAGCAGCAACTTCATCAAGAATTTAAAATTGTCTCACTTGTTTTAGTAGAAATTTAGGGATTCTGGGATTGGGAGCTCGAGATTTTGGGATTGGAGCTGAGATTTTGGGATCAGGACCTTGAGATTTTGGGATTGGAGCTTGTGGTTTTGGGATGGGAGCTGAGATTTGGGATTGGAGCTGAGATTTTGGGATTGGAGCTCAAGGTTTTGGGATTGGAGCTGAGATTTTGGGATTGGAGCTGAGATGATTTTGGGATTGGAGCTGAGATGATTTTGGGATCGGAGCTGAGATGATTTTGGGATTGGAGCTCGGGAGCATCCCCAGAGCCACTGAGGGAGAGGAAGAGGCCGGGGCTGCGCTCCCTCCTCCCTGCCCCAGGATTGGAAGCAGATGTGGAGGAAGTGTCTCATTAGCGGTAATTGCTTCGCCAGGATTTGAGGTTTCCCCTCTGTCACCACCAAAAACACTCCGAGGAGCCGGGACAAGGGGAAAACCCCTCAGGGCAGAGTTTGTGCTGCACAAACGTTTGGGATCGAGGCAGGGAAAGTTTATTCAGCCCGGGCTGGCAGCGGGCTGAGGGATCTGGAAGCATCCCGGAGGATTAAGCTGGAAAAACTCGGCCTAAATCCCACTTTCCTGCCTGGCCGCGGCCAAATGAGGCGTGAAATGGGCTCGGAGGGCAGTCCCTGGCACCGTCCCGGTGAAAAGTCCCGGTGCAAACGGGGAGAACAGGCACGGGACATGCCAGGAGCTCCTTCCCCAAAACTGGGACACGCCAGGAGCTCCTTTCCTACAGCTGGGACACGCCAGGAGCTCTTTCCCCAAAACTGGGACACACCAGGAGCTCCTTTCCCACATCTGGGACACGCCAGGAGCTCCTTTCCTACAGCTGGGACACTCCAGGAGCTCCTTCCCCAAAACTGGGACACACCAGGAGCTCCTTCCCCAAAACTGGGACACACCAGGAGCTCCTTTCCTACAGCTGGGACACGCCAGGAGCTCCTTCCCCACATCTGGGACACACCAGGAGCTCCTTCCCCACATCTGGGACACGCCAGGAACTTCTCCCTCACATCTGGGACACTCCAGGAGCTCCTTCCCCACATCTGGGACACTCCAGGAACTTCTCCCTCACATCTGGGACACTCCAGGAGCTCTTTTCCCACAGCTGGGACACTCCAAGAACTTCTCCCTCACATCTGGGACACGCCAGGAGCTCCTTCCTCACAGCTGGGACACTCCAGGAACTTCTGCCTCACAGCTGGGACACTCCAGGAACTTCTGCCTCACAGCTGGGACACTCCAGGAACTTCTGCCTCACAGCTGGGACACTCCAGGAGCTCCTTCCCCATTTTGGGGCTGCTCCAGGGGCTCCAGGTGTCCCCTGGCCCCAGCACGGGCTGTGTCCCTGTCCCTGTCCCCTGTCCCCATCCGTGTCCCTGTTCCCTCGCTGGCTCTCACAAAGCCGTCTCTGTTTGCCATCTCTGTTTGCCGTCTCTCTCTGTGTTTGCCCTCTCTCTGTCTCTCTCTCCCTGTTTGCCGTGTCTCTCTCTCTCTCTCCCTGTTTGCCGTGTCTCTCTGTCTCTCTCTCTGTCTCTCTCTCCCTGTTTGCCGTGTCTCTCTCTCTCTGTCTCTCTCTCCCTGTTTGCCGTGTCTCTCTCTCTCTGCTCCGGGCCCTCTGCCAGGGCCGGGCTCCTCAGAGCCGCGATTGTGCCGCGGCCGGGCAGCGCTGGGGCACCCGCGGGGGAGAGATCCCGGCCCGGCGTTCCGGCACGGACCCCCGGATCCATCCGGGATCGGCTCCCCGGGGCACTCTGGGCCCACGGCATCAGAGCCATGGGCTTCAGGGCTCCAAAAACCCTTCCCATGCAGGAACTGGGAATGGATTCCCGGCCCGGCGTTCCGGCACGGACCCCCGGATCCATCCGGGATCAGCTCCCCGGGGACTTCTGAGCCCACAGGGTCAGAGCCGTGGGCTTCAGAGCCCCAAAAACCCCGACCCAGCATTCCGGCACGGACCCCCCAGTCCATCCGGGATCGGCTCCCCAGGGAATTCTGTGAGCCCACAGGGTGAGAGCCATGGGCTTCAGGGCCCCAAAATCCCTTCCCAGGGCAGGAACTGGGAATGGATTCCCGGCCCGGCGTTCCGGCACGGACCCCCAGATCCATCCAGGATCAGCTCCCCAGGGAATTCTGAGCCCACAAGGTCAGAGCCATGGGCTTCAGGGCCCCAAAAACCCTTCCCAGGGCAGGAACTGGGAATGGATCCCTGACCAGAATGGATCTCTGTTCCAGCACGGACCCCCCGATCCATCCGGGATCGGCTCCCCAGGGAATTCTGAGCCCACAGGGTCAGAGCCGTGGGCTTCAGGACCCCAAAAACCCTTCCCGGGCAGGAA